GACGACGACGACGGCGACGAAATAGGAGGGACGACGACGAGACGCCGATGACGGACGACGACGACGACCAGGGAGGAGGAGGAAGGACGACCACGGCGACAACGACGACAGAAACGACCACGACGCCAAAGAGGACGACGACGACGAACACGAGGAAAGACAGAGGACGATGTAGGCGACGGCGATGACGACGTGGGAGGAGGGAGGACGGCGACGACGACGACGACGACGACGCAAGAGCGCGCGCGCACGCTTTTGTTGAACATCCGTGTTGCGAAACCCTGTGTTTTATATGTTTTTCGGACACACGATGTTGTTTTTTTTCCGAAGCCGATGGGTTTTGAAGGATTTCGGCATACGCGCGCGGCGCCGCGCGCGTCTGCACTTCGTCAAATTTTTGCAGAGGTTTTTCGCGACGGCACACGCGCAAGAGCGTTCGAGAGATTTCGAAATGCGCGCGCGCGAAGCCCGTTTTGTAGCATTTTGTCAGAATCTTGAAAAAAAACCAAGGTTTTTTTGTTTTCTTTTTCTTTGGGGATAAAAAACCAGATATCGCAAGAGCTCGCGCAAGCTTTTTTAGCAAATCAGTGTTGCGAAACCCTGTGTTTTGGTATGTTTTTTTGGGAAGCTCGATTTCGAAATCTTTCCGACACCGAAGGTTTTGGAAGGAATTCGGCATGCGCGCGCGACGACGCGCGCGTGTGCATTTCGTCTTGTTTTTTGCAAGGGATTCGTGAAGCAGTGTCATGTTAGAACAAAAGATGTCCCCGGGTGTCGTTTTTCACAAGGGAACCTCAGGGGGAGTGATGCCGGTAACCCGCGGATGGTGTAAATTCATGTTTAGGATGGACATGTGGTCATAATCATATATGACCTACAGACCCGAAAGGGGAACGGATAACGCTGGGGGGGGGGGTAGAGTATTCTCTGTTTAGGCAAGAGAATCTATGTAGTTCTATCTACGGTGTGTAATGTACGTGGTTCAGTCTAAGTGGTGCGAGGAATGCGGGGCAATCTGTTGGTGCAGTCGGCATTGTGCAATCTATGTTGAACAATCAGCTTTGTGCAATCTATGTTGAACAATCAGCTTTGTGCAATCTATACGTGGTGCAATCTGTGTGGTACAATCTATATGGTGCCATCTATGTGGCTCAGTCTCTGTGGTGCGCAGTGTACGCAGTGCAGTGGACGTGGTGCAACCTCAGTGGTGCAATCTACGTGGTGGCAATATGTAGTTTTTATTCAACGGTGTGTAATGTACGTGGTACAGTCTATGTGGTGCAAGGAATGCGGAGCAATCTGTTGGTGCAGTCGACATTGCAATCTATATTGAGCAATCAATGCTGTGTAATCTATATTGTGCAATCTATGTGGTGCAACCAATCACTAGCTCAACTTGAAGCTGTCCTCTCCACTGCTCTTGCAATCATCCCACCCTCCCACCCGCAACTTGGTCGCAAGACCTCTTAAGACCGCGACGGTGGGTACCGAATGGCACTTGGCAGCGACACCGACGCCGGAGACAACAGCGACAACGACGACGACGACGACGACGGAAACGACGACGACGACGCCGACGACGACGACGATGCCGCCGACAACGAGTACGACGACACCGACGACGTCTCCAACGACTTCGACGACGACGACAAAGATGACCACGACGACAACACCGACGACGACGACGACGCCGACGCTGACGACGACGACGACGTGGCCAACGGAGACGACGACGACGAGGGAAGAGGGAGGACGACGACGGCGACGACGGAAACGACGAGGGAGGAGGGAAGACGAAGACGACGACGACGACGACGGCGACGAAATTGGAGGGACGACGACGAAACGCCGACGAAGACGACGAGGGAGGAAGGACGACCACGGCGACAACGACGACGGAAACGACGACAACGCCAGGACAACGACGACGACAAGGAAAGACAGAGGACGACGACGGCGACGACGACGAGGGAGGAGGAAGAACGGCGACGACGACGACGACGACGCAAGAGCGCGCGCGCACGCTTTGGTTGAAAATCCGTGTTGCGAAACCTGGTGTTTTTGTATGCTTTTGGGACACGATTTTGAAATTCTTCCGAAACGGAAGGTTCTGAAGGATTTCGGCGTACGCGCGCGACGACGCGCTCGTCTGCACTTCGTCTCCTTTTGTGCAGGGGATTCTTTCGACGGCACGCGCGCGAGGGCGTTCGAAAGATTTGGACATGCGCGCGCGAAACCGAGCGCGCGCGTAAGTTTTTTTAGAGAATCAGTGTTGCGAAACCATGTGTTTTTGTATTTTTGTTGGAACCTCGATTTGAGATCCTTCCGAAACCAGAGGTTCTTGAATGATTTCGGCATGCGCGCGCGTCGACGCGCGCGTGTGCTCTTCGTGCCATTTTTTTGCGAGGGATTCTTGAAAGCTTATGATTCTTGTTAAACGAGAATGTGCGCATAGTTTTTTTTGCAGGGGATGGCGGGGGGGAGTGATACTGGCCTGGCTGGGATAGTATGAATTCATATTTCAGATGGGCGAGTGTGTAGAGTAAATATGAAGTCGCAATACACCAGGGGGGATCGTTAACTCCGGGGGGGGGTAGAGGCTATCCTTATTTGAGAAAAGAGAATCAATTTATGTAGTGCAAAATTTGCGTTGCGTGTAATTAATCACTTGCCGAACTTGAAGTTGTCAACTCCACTACTCGCGCAATCATCCAACCCACCCACCCGCAACTTGGTTTGCAAAACCCATGCGGGACCGACCACAGATATCGCTCCGGGTTCGTCTTGGAGCCTTCGGGGGCGTCTCAAAAGCGCCCCAAGAAGGCCGGAGAAGCAAGACGGCCGACTACGACGACGACGACGACGACGACGGCGGCGGCGACGACGACGACGCCGACGTCGACGACGACGAAGACGACGACGCCGACGCCGACGACGACGACGAAGACGACGACGACGTCGCTAACGAAGACGGCGACGAAGGGGGAGGGAGGACGACGACGGCGACAACGACGACAACGACGACAACGACGACAACGAGGGAGGAGGGAGGACGGCGACGACGCGAATGACGAAGAAGTAGGAAGGACGGCGACGCCGACGACGACAACGACGAGGGAGGAGGGAAGACGACGACGAGACGACGACGACAACGACGACGACGACGGCGACGAAATAGGAGGGACGACGACGAGACGCCGACGACGGACGACGACGACGACGACGAGGGAGGAGGAGGAAGGACGACCACGGCGACAACGACGACGGAAACGACCACGACGCCAAAGAGGACGACGACGACGAACACGAGGAAAGAAGTGACGACGTAGGCGACGACGACGACGACGACGCGGGAGGATGGAGGACGGCGACGACGACGACGACGCCGCAAGTGCGCGCGCGCACGCTGTTGTTGAAAATCCGTGTTGCGAAACCTTGTGTTTTTGTGGGTTTTTCGGACGCGCGATTTTGAAATCTCTCCGAAACCGATGGGTTTTGAAGGATTTCGGCGTACGCGCGCGACGACGCGCGCGCCTGCACTTCGTCCCATTTTTTTGCAGAGGATTCTCGCGACGGCACATGCGCAAGGGCGTTCGACAGATTTCGACATGCGCGCGCGCGACGCCCGTTTGGTAGCATGTTGTGAAATCTTGACAAAACCAATGGTTTTCTTAAGATTTCGCAAGAGCTTGCGCGGAAGCTTTTTTAGCAAATCAGTGTTGCGAAAACCTGTGTTTTTGTATGCTATTTTTTTTGGGAACTCGACTGCGAAATCCTTCCGGCACCGAAGGTTTTTGAAGGATTTCGGCATGCGCGCGCGACGACGCGCGCGTGTGCACTTCGTCCCGTTCTTTGCAAGGGATTCGTGAGAAGTGTTATGTTAGAACAAAACATGTCACCGCATAGTGTTTTTATAAGGGGACCTCGGGGGGATACCGGCTGGCTTGGGACACTGCGATTTCACATTTAGGATGGACATGTGGCCAGAATCATATACGTTTTACATACCCGAAAGGTAACGTGATAACGCCGGGTGGGGGAGGGGTAGAGTCTATTCTGTTTTTAGGGAGGAGAATTTAGGCGGCGACGGGGCGGCGACGGCGACAACATAGCCGCTAGACCGACAATCAAGCCCAGACGACGGGCGGCGACGAGACAGCGACGGGGCGGTGACGGCCGCTACAGCCGCCAGACTTGGCCGTCAGGCCCAGAGGACGGGCGGCGACGAGGCCGCGACGGGGCGGTGGCGGCGGCTACATAGCCGCCAGACCAGCCGCCAGGCCCACTTCCTCAGAACAGAAGTAAGAACTCCTAAGTGCAAGCGCTCTTTCTGGAATGTATGTGCGTATAGATGTGATCTGTATGTTTAGAATGTGCGTATGTGCGTGTGTGTGTGATGCAATTCGCACTTCCATCTGCTGCCCGCGCCTGTGGACCCTCTGCGCCTCTGGCTTAAACAAATGCGCGTGTGTGTATGTGTGCTAAGCGTGTGCTGGTGTATCAGCTTAAATGGACATGCGTTCACACGTGTGTGCATACTACATTTTTTTGAAAGTGTAGTGGGAAGGCGTTGCATACATACACATACATATACACATATATACCAACTTGCAGAGGCACTAGTCAGAGGAAGGGAAGGATATGAGGAATTAGTAGGCAGTCAGAGCGAGATGGAAGGAGAGAGGGAGATAGAGAGAGAGAGAAGCATAGAGAGAGAAAGAGAGAAACAACAAAAGAAGAGAGGGAGGGAAAGTTGAGCAGGAAATTCGTGAAGAGAGCATTCAGGAGGAAGAATGCGCCAGAGAGAGAGAGAGAGAGATAAACAGACAGAGAGAGAGGAGACATAGAGAGTGAGAGGGAGAGAGGGAGACGAAAGGACGTATGGTTGGAGCGGTTGGGCCAAGCCAGGAAAGCTATCCACGAGCTCCTCTTCCTCCTCCCTCCTCCTCCTCCTCCTCCTCCTCCTCCTCGCCTAGCCCTCCCCCATTCTCCCATGGCAGGTGCTTTTCAATGCGCTCCTCGACACATGCTGCCGCCTCAAGGACCTGAACCGCCTTGAGTCCACCCTTGCCCGGATGCGCGAGCTGAATGTATCTCCTTCTCCGGTTCTGCCTGCTGTGTCCCTCCGCTTGCTTTCGTGTGGAGTGCCTCCCTTGATCCCACCATGGCATTCCCGAGTCAAGGCCAGAAATGAGGATGCGAATGAGGACGAAGGATGAGGATGACGAGGATGATGCCGACGGCGGCGACCCTGACGATGGTGGTGGCGATCCAAATGCGGATGATGACGAGAATGTGCAGCATTTAAAATTGCATCATCGGGGGACCTTGCCTGTCCCATAAATGGCGGTATTTTCTTGTATCCGACGTGGGTTCGACATGGGTCCGACGTGGATTCGACTTGGATTCGTTGCGCATTCAATATGGGTTCGACGCGGACTCGACGCGCTCGACACGGATTCGCTGTGGATTCGACGCGGATGGCGGCGCGATCGGACAGACCAGGCCCCTCAAATATGCACCGGAACGTATGAGGAGTGCGATGTGGAGGAGAAGGATTTCGTTCGTCGTTGCCGCAAACCGACCAGACTCTACTCCAGACTTCGTAATAAAAGGGAGGTGGTCTGGACCCTCCAAGACAAGCCATTTCAGACCTCCCCCGTGGGATAACCCTCCAAAACATCTTCCCCAGACCCCCCCAGGCCCTCCAAGATAGCCTGGAAGAGACCCCCCCCGAAATGAGACCCCGCTCCCTTTATTACGAAATCTGGTGTATTCTTTTCGGTCTGTCGAACATCATCTGGGATCAGCGGACGTGCATCACGTGACTGGTGCGTGGTCGCGCGCAGGCTCTCGCCGCGACGAGTCCTGACGCCACAGCGGTGTGATGTAACTCCTCTGTTGATCACGTCGTCAAGATCAGTGAATCCTTCCCCGTGTGCTCTCCAGGAGTTTCCCCGTCGGGTATCCCCGTCGTCGTCGTCCTCCTCGTCCTCCTCCTCCTCCTCCTTCTCCTCCCCTTCTCCCCCTCCCTTCCTGCGTCTTCCCCCCTTCTTATCCCCCTACTCTCCCTCTGCCCTGAGGTCGTGGCCTCTCGACGAAATACGACCAGAGCTCGAGCAGATACTGGCTTGGACGTCGTCGTCGTCGTCGTCGTCGTCGTCGTCGTCGTCTCCCCTCTCAGGTATCAGAAAGGCCTTACGGCCGGTGCCACCGACCCTGAGCGCTAGGAAGATGAGGAGGAGGAGGAGGAGGAGGAGGAGGAGGAGGAGGAGGAGGAGGATGACGACTCCCCTCTCGGGCGCTTCCTCGCTGCCGCCGCCGTCCTCCTCTTTCCAGGTTACCCTGGGCATCCTCGTGAAGACGTACGGCCAGGCCGGCGACCTCCAGAAGGTGCTCCAGGCCGGCGGGCCGCCCCGGAGCCTGGGGTCGGCGTCACCCCAACATACAAACGACGCGCGCACCGAGAAACCTTGAAGTATATGCGTCGTGGCGGGCGCCTTCTGGCCACACCGCCCGGGGAACGATGTGCTACGAGATGGGTATCCTATATGTTCGGGTTGGACGCGCGCCTCCCAGGGGAGGACTACACAGTACCGGCATGTCCTTGTGCCTCCCATGGGGTCCGTGGCGCGGCGTGCGGAAGGCAGCCAGGCCACACGCAGAGGCGCGCGCCGCGCGAGGCGCGAAGCTCGGCGGCGCAGCGCACAGTCTCAGGTCGGGCAGGTACCTCCGCAGGAGGAACAGCCCCAAAATAGTCGAAAAGCAGTCAGGGGCAGATTTTCCAACTAGTTTTTATCTGTTTTGGAATCTTTCAGAGTATTTCTTATTCTTCGTCCAAATCAGCCTGTAGGAGGACATGCCCGACCTAGCGCGAGCAGCGAAGCTCGGCGGCCCAATGCGCAGTCTGCGGTCGGGACGTTTTTTGACGGTCCCAGGGCCCAGCGAGGGCCCCCAGAGGCCGAAAGCGGCGAAAGATATCCGTTTTGAGTCTGGTCAGCACGTCGGACCTCTGGGTCGGGAGCTTTCGGATAGCATGTCGCTCCGCCTTCGAATGAAGGCAGTATGGAGAGGTGCTGGTATGTTGGACAATTTCAAAGTAGCCGTAAGATAGGTTACGAAAATAGGTGAACAACAACATATATTCGACATGTAAGTTACATGATATTCTGTTATAAGGTGTAAGCGCTCCGGAGCCTCCGCTGGTTCTGGCCCACCGCGCCTGGCGCGGCACGCTGTTCACTCCCCGGCCCCCCAGGCGGCTTCGACGTTCGGCCACGCGCAGAGGGGGGCAGGGGAGGGGGGGAGGATTCTTGGAAGTCCCCCCGCTTCTTGGAAGGCGCGGGCCCTGTCTGTAGATGCAGGGCCGGCGCCTTCGAAGAAGCAGCCTCCTTGCAAGGAGCCTGCCCCCCTCCCCCTACCCCCCGTGCTTCAGGAGCAAGTCATGGGAGCCTGGCATACGTCTGGAGCCGGTGAGACAGCCCCTATCTAGCGTCGCTTTAGCGCCGATCAGCGTCGCTTCAGCGTCGATCAGCGTCGATGCAGCGCTGGCCAGCGTCGCTTCGCAAGAGCCGACACAATGGTGTGGGAGGCTCCCATGAGTGGCCACCGAACCCGCGTGCGCCGCCGACACGTCCCCGGCCTCTGCGAGCCCCCCGCCCCGCGGCGCGGAGCGACGTCGCTGTCCGCCCGCACGGCGCAGCGCCTCGCTGCAAGGGGCCGCCGCCGCGGCACGCTGCACCGCAGGAGTGCTCCGCCGCGGGCGGCCCCCCGGGGCACAGTCCAGGCGAGGGCCGCTGCGGGCTCTCTGGATGGGCTCTGGTTTCTCCAGGGGCAGCGGAGGAAGGGGGGGAGACGCACAGAGGGGGGGGGGGTGCATCGACCCCCAATCGCCCGTTGATCGCCGATCGGGGCCCGATAGCCCCAACCTGCACAGGAAGGTGCGGATTCGCTGTCGGGGGCCTATCGCCGATCCATCGGCGATGTATCGCCGATTCTAGGTCGATGCATGCCCCCGTATGCCGGCGCCCCCCTATCGTTGCCCTTCATTTTTCATCGAGGACACAAGAAGCCCTAGCCCTAATAGCGTAGGGAAGATGTGGCCTCACTCAGGTCCCCGTCTTGGCGTCAGTGATCCTAGCTCTGGCCGGTTCGGCGTGGTACATCTGAAGGGAAGACCCCGTTACCATCCCTAATGTTTTCGCCGATGTATCGGCGATGCTGCTTGTCGTGGTGCCCGATCCTCTCCGCGCCAGCATCGCCGTTGCATCGCCGATGCATCGCCGACGCATCGACGATGCTTTGGCGACGCATCGGCGATGCGGCGATGTCCCCCGACCCCATCTACTCCGACCCCGCATGGGAGTCCGCTATATGTAGGATTGAAGCGGAGGCCCCAGATGGGAAATCGTTCGCGGTCTCGTTTTTTTGGCGCGCGCGCTGGCAAGGCGATGCTGCGAACGCGGCGCGAGAGGAGTGATCCCGCCGCTGCGGGGGAGAGACCAGAGCAATGGACTCTCCCCAATCCAGTTGGCGAAGTTGGTGGTGATGCTCTTCCATCGGTTGTTTTGATGTCGTCCCGATGTTCGTTTGTACGGTTTTCCCGAGCTTCGACGGTTGTCCGATGAGAGTCTTGCCGGTTGTCCCGAATGTCGTTCTTGAGGTTGTCCCGATGGCTATTCCGAAGGTTGGCCCGACGTTAATTGTTAATTCCGATTGTTTCTTTCCTATGGTATTCCCGATGGTGGTCTTGATGGTTGTTCCGTTTGTTTTTATGATGGTTGTCGCGATGGTTGTCTTTGTCCCCGACGGATTTCTTGATGGCTTCCCCGATGGTTGTCAATATTGATTCCGATTCAAATGTTTGCTCGGCGCCTTGTGTGCTTCGAGCGGTTTGCAAGCATGCACCCGACAATGCGATGGTTGTCCCGATGGTTGTCCCGAGGGGTCGATTCGACATATCTATATGATATCCGGGGGGCCCTGAGCCCGGACCGGGACATCCTCCCAAATTTCCCCCCCCACTCCCTTTCTGGCCCAGACATTTTCGTGCAGCCAGCAGCTGCGCGCGCCGGGAGCGGCGCTGAACGCGGCGCTTCGGTGCCCTTTGGGCCCGCAGGTTTTGGCGACGGGACAGTGGTCGTTCGGAACACCGTCCTGCACTTCCTCGGAGATTGCTGAGGAGGACATGGCCTTTTTCAGCCCGCGTGCCTCGTCGTCGGCGCCGGCGCTGCCGCTGCCGCCCCCGGGTTTGGAGAAACCGATTGGCGAGCCGCCGTCGTCGAGTTGTGCCGAGTACCACACCACCGTGCTGTTCCGCAACGTGCCCTACGTTTTCACGCGAGACACGTTCGTGGAGCTGCTGAACTCGCAAGGCTTCCAAGGGAAGTTTGACCTGGTGTACGTGCCTATGGACTTCAAGACGAACCGGGCGCGCGGTTATGCGTTTGTGAACCTGCCGTTCTGCCCTGCCGCCGCTGAAGCGCGTCAAGCCCGGCATGGACGTGGCAGCTGTCCGGCGGGCCGCCGAGCCGGCCGATCATCTTCCTGCACAGCCTGGAGCTGGAGACTTTCAGTACCCGCTCGACCTCACCCTATCTTGCGATGGGTCGTCGAGATCTGTGAACGACGAGGAAGCCTCGGGCTGGGGTCTCACTGTGGCGGCCCCCGGAGGCCATGCGCTGCTGGATTACTGCGGCCCCACAGTCACCAACGTCAGCGACCCTTGCTACATCGGGGCCACACAGCACTCCAACAACGTCGGAGAGCTCAGCGCCCTCTTCTTCGGCCTCTCGTGGTTGCGGGGCCACTTGAGCACTGCCGCGCGGCAGCCGGCCAAGGCGATCATTGAGTACGACTCGGAGTACGCGGCCGGTGTCATTCAGCGGCGGACCCGGGCACGGCAGAATCTCACGCTCGTGCTGAGAGCCCGCCACATCTACGACCAGATCTCTTCTTCCATCGAATGGCGCAAGGTGGAATCCCACACGGGCCAGTTCTTGAACGAGAGAGCGGACCATCTCGCCAATTGCGGTGCGAGTGGCATGTACTGCGGGCTGCCGGATGCGACCCGGTGGGCCCAAGATACTTCAGGCTGACCTCAGGTTCAGGCCTGCCAGGTGGTGGTGGCTGACCGCCGCGTTCAGGCTGACCTTCTGCAGCACGAGCAGGCAGCCCCAGAACTTTCCCATTGCATTTTATTTCATTCTTTGGTGAATTGTTCAATTGGTGGTTTGCGACGTGCTCAATGCTGTATGTTATGGGCTAATTCAACACTTGTGGCTCAAACTGTTGTTTCACCATCATCGTCACCTTCTTCTCCTCCTTCTTCCTCTTCGTCATCAAGTGACTCGGAGGGAGCAGCCGGCTCGCCCCGGCGTTGTGTACTGCCAGCAGATGCTCGTCACGCGGTCTACCCATACTGTGGGAATGTTGTAAGAGCATGTTGTTCGTCTGATCTATGGTGTCAGAGGAATTGTCTGTGGCCTTGCTGCTCTTCGCAGCTGGGCATGCTCAACGAGCGACAATTGGTTTTCTGCGGTCAGGAAGCCCCTGATCTTTGTCATTTTATGCGTTTGTGAACGCGGTGGACGCTGAGGTCGCCCTCTGTCTCTTTGTCACGTTCCAGGGCTTCCAGGCGTGGCCCAAGAGGAGCTCGAAACCGTGCAACGTGTCCTGGAGTTGCCGTCAGGGCCTCGAGAGCAACGTCCGAACTTACCGCAGCCTCCCGGTGATGCAGGCGCACGTCCCCGACGCCTGGAAGCCGGCCGTCTTCTCGAAGGGCAGCGAGGTGCCCTTCCCCGCGCCCACGGGGAAATTCAGGCGCAACCGAAAGATCCTCCACTGCGATGGCGAGGCGCCGCGGATCTGAGAGGTGCGCAGTGTGTATGACCAACGGTGGAATGCGCAGTGAAGCTTTTCATCATGAAGCATTGCAACACAAAGCATGGTGTCGCACAGCGGCGCAGAACACAACACCGCACAGCATGTCATGGCATGGTGCAAGGTATTTGTTGGAGGGTAAGTGAATCGTCTTCGAGAGGTCTGAGCCGTTCTAGAGTCGTGGCTCCATGTCTAGCTCCTTGGGCTCCCCGAAAAGCTCCACACAAGGCTGGGCTGATGGAGAGCACCTGCTGGCTCTGCTTCCAAAATCGCTTTCTCAAAACAGGAACATGGCTCCCGCTTGATACTTCCTGAAAGCGACGACGCCCCCAAGCGGAGGGGGGGGCTTCTCTGCGGCCCAAAAAACCAACGAATCGACAGCGAATGTGTGCAATCACTTCCGATGGTTTTTGTTCGGGGGGGCATTTTCAAGATTTCGGGGCCTACGTGGAAGGAAGGCCAGCGCTGCAGCGGAAGCACGATTCGGAACGAGCGGAAGCCCGAAAATGAGGCCAGCGCTTCAGCGAGAGCAACATTTTGAAAACAAAAAAACAAAAAAGAAATCGAAAACCCGTTTCCCGGGAATCCTGCGGACGTCATCGGGGGTGAGAAGAATAGTTTTCATCGGAGTGAGGGGGCTGAACCGAGCGGTCATTCAATGTCCCTGGGTGCGTGGCTCAAGTGGAATTCCTCGATGCGGGTTGTTGTTGTTGTTGTTGTTGTTGTTGTCGTCGTTGTTGTTGTTGTTGTTGTTGTTGTTGTTGTTGTTGTTGTTGTTGTTGTTGAACATTATTTATTCTAAAGAATAATTGTTGTTGGGCCCCCTGGTGCGCGCCCCCCCTGCGCCGCCTAGGCCGCAGCTACATTTTCATCACTTTTGTGAGGAAGCCTCAGAAAAGAGGGTGTGTACAGGATCCGGTTGTTTTGTTGTAATCCGCTTTCCCTTGCAAAAAACAATAGAAAATGACATTTCTTGTTCTAATATAATCAAATTTCAAGAACCCCTTGCAAAAAATAAGGTAAAGTGGACATTCGCGCGCGCAAGACGAAATCCTTCCAAAACCTTAGTGTTCGCAGCGATTGTAACATAAAAACATCAAAAAACCAATGGTTTTTCAACAAAAAACTGTCAAAATCTCATCCCGCGCGCTCTTGCGGATTCGTAGGAAACCCAACACTTTTTAAACATTTCTGTCAAACGGGCTTTTGCGAGCAACTTTTTCGAACTTCTGCAACAACGGTTGCGCACCTGCCAGGGGCATCATCCCTGTCAAATAATACCATGCGGGACACATTCGTTTTTTCTTCGCGCGCGCACGCCGAAATCTCCAAAAACCAGTGGGCTTCTTAAGAATTTTAGCACCGCGCATCATAAAATCACACGAATCGCACCGTAGGTCCTCGAAAAACACCTGCACGACTTTTCAAATTTTCTACCCGCGCGCGCTGTCAAAATTCCTAAAAAAACCCAATGGGGTTTTTCAACATTTGTTACATGAGCTCGGCGAGCTACTTTCGCAGCTCTTCTGTGGGTTAACAAGGCTTAACAACTTCTGTGGGTGTACGAACGTAGGCTTAACAACTTCTGTGGGTGTGTACTCCACGCCAGTGTAGTAGCCACGGTCGTCCGCAGGCCACGAAGTGAAGTGTCAGAACGTCATAGGGCGGGAAGCTGGGTGTGGGTGGTGGCGAAGAGTCGTGTGGATATTTGGTAGAGCTTGCACTGCCCCCCCACAAAGTGGGGGTATTGGCTGGCGTCGCATGAAAACCATGGCACTGGTGAGAACACTGAGCGTTCGGGTAAAGTGATTGTTGTTGTTGTTGAAACATTAGTATTCTAAAGAAGAATTATGTTGGGACCCCTTGGTGCGCGCCCCCCCCGCCGCGGCCTAGGGCCGCAGCCACGTTTTTCATCATTTTCGGAGGAAAGGCCTCAGTTTAAAACGATGTCATTTCCAGATCCGGTCTGGTTGTTGTAATCCCCTTTCGTCAAAAAACACTATAAAATGAAATTTCTTGTTCACATATAATCAAATTTCAAGAATCCCTTGCAAAAAATAAGGTAAAGTGGACATTCGCGCGCGCAAGACGAAATCCTTCCAAAAGCTTAGTGTTCGGAGCGATTTTCACATAAAAACATCAAAAAACCAATGGTTTTTCAACAAAAAAATGTCAAAATCTCATCCCGCGCGCTCTTGCGGATTCGTAGGAAAACCAACACTTTTTAAACATTTCTGTCAAACGGGCTTTTGCGAGCAATTTTTTCGAACTTCTGCGACAACGGTTGCGCACCTGCCAGGGCCATCATCCCTGTCAAATAATACCATGCGGACACATTCGTTTTTTCTTCGCGCGCGCACGCCGAAATCTCCAAAAACCATTGGGTTCTTAGGGTGATGTACCCCACCCAGTGTAGTAGCCACGGTCGTCCGCACGCCACGAAGTGAAGTGTCCTGACGTCATAGGGCGGGAAGCTGGGTGTGGGTGGTTCCCGAGAGTCGTGTGGATGTTTGGTAGAGCTTGCATTGCCCCCCCACGAAGTGGGGGTATTGGCTGGCGTCGCATGAAAACCCTTGCACTGGGGAGAACACTGAGCGTTCGGGTAAAATGATTGTTGTTGTTGTTGTTGTTGTTGTTGTTGTTGTTGTTGAACATTATTTCTTCTTAAGAATAATTATTGTTGGGGCCCCTGGTGCGCGACCCCCCCGCCGCGCCTAGGCCGCAGCCACGTTTTCATCATTTTCGTGAGGAAGTCTCAGGCAAAACGGGTTGGTCCGGATCCGGTTGTGTTGTTACGATCGGTTTTCCCTTGCAAAAAATAAGCTAAAGTGGACATTTCTTGTTCTAACATAACCAAACTTCAAGAATTCCCTGCAAAAAATAAGGTAAAGTGGACATTCGCGCGCGCAAGACGAAATCCTTCCAAAACCCTAGTTTTCGTAACGATTTTAACATAAAAACATCAAAAAACAATGTTTTTTCAACAAAAAAGTCAAAATGTCATCCCGCGCGCTCTTGCGGATTCGTAGGAAACCCAACACTTTTTAATCATTTCTGTCAAACGGGCTTTTGCGAGCAACTGTTTCGAACTTCTGCAACAACGGTTGCGCACCTGCCAGGGCCATCATCCCTGTCAAATAATACCATGCGGGACACATTCGTTTTTTCTTCGCGCGCGCACGCCGTCGTCGTCTGCCGCGGGGCCCTGAATAGTAGCCACGGTCGTCCGCATGCCACGAAGTGAAGTGTCCGAACGTCATAGGGCGGGAAGCTGGGTGTGGGTGGTGGCGAAGAGTCGTTTGGAAATTTGGTAGAGCTTGAACCGGCCCCCCCACAAAGTGGGGGTATTGCCCGCCTCCTATGAAAACCCTGCACTGGTGAGAACACTGAGCGTTGGTAAAGTGATGTTGTTGTTGTTGTTGTTGTTGTTGTTGTTGTTGTTGTTGTTGTTGTTGTTGTTGTTGTTGTTTGTTGTTGTTTGTTGTTGTTTGTTGTTGTCGTCGTCCCACCTGCGACCCGCCCCGCGACCCACCCGCGACCCACCCCGCGACCCACCCCGCGACCCACCCGCGACCCACCCCGCGACCCACCCGCGACCCACCCGCGACCCATCCGCGACGAGGGTGGATCGTTCAAGCGAAAAGACGCTCGTTCGAGCGAAAAGGTAATCTGTTCAAGCGAAAACCAACCGAGCGAAAACCAATCCAGAGCGAAAAGGTAATCCGTTCAAGCGAAAACCAACCGAGCGAAAACCAATCCAGAGCAGCAGAGAGCAGCAGAGAGCAGCAGAGAGCAGCAGAGAGCAGCAGAGAGCAGCAGCAGAACAGCAGAGAGCAGCAGCAGAACAGCAGAGAGCAGCAGCAGAACAGCAGAGAGCAGCAGCAGAACAGCAGAGAGCAGCAGCAGAACAGCAGAGAGCAGCAGCAGAACAGCAGAGAGCTGGGAACCACGATGTCGGCTTTACGGCCTTTCGGCCTCGCCGGATGGGGTCCTCGTGATCGTGGTTCCCGCCATCCTCGGGGCCGCCGTGGGTCCCAGGGCGCCAGCCAGAGCTGGGAACCACGATTTCGGGCTTTTCCGGCCTGGATCTCTCCAAAATCATGGTTCCCGCCATCCTCGGGGCCGCCGTGGGCCCCAGGGGCGCCAGCCAGAGCTGGGAACCACGATTTCGGGCTTTTCCGGCCTGGATCTCTCCAAAATCATGGGTCCCGCCATCCTCGGGGCCGCCGTGGGCCCCAGGGGCGCCAGCCAGAGCTGGGAACCACGATTTCGGGCTTTTCCGGCCTGGATCTCTCCAAAATCATGGTTCCCGCCATCCTCGGGGCCGCCGTGGGCCCCAGGGGCGCCAGCCAGAGCTGGGAACCACGATTTCGGGCTTTTCCGGCCTGGATCTCTCCAAAATCATGGTTCCCGCCATCCTCGGGGCCGCCGTGGGCCCAGGGGCGCCAGCCAGAGCTGGGAACCACGATTTCGGGCTTTTCCGGCCTGGATCTCTCCAAAATCATGGTTCCCGCCATCCTCGGGGCCGCCGTGGGCCCCAGGGGCGCCAGCCAGAGCTGGGAACCACGATTTCGGGCTTTTCCGGCCTGGATCTCTCCAAAATCATGGTTCCCGCCATCCTCGGGGCCGCCGTGGGCCCCAGGGGCGCCAGCCAGAGCTGGGAACCACGATTTCGGGCTTTTCCGGCCTGGATCTCTCCAAAATCATGGTTTCCGCCATCCTCGGGGCCGCCGTGGGTCCCAGGGGCGCCAGCCAGAGCTGGGAACCACGATTTCGGGCTTTTCCGGCCTGGATCTCTCCAAAATCATGGTTCCCGCCGCCGCCGTGGGCCCCAGGGGCGCCAGCCAGAGCCAGGAACCATGATTTCGGGCTTTTCCGGCCTCGATCTCTCCAAAATCATGGTTCCCGCTTCGGTTTCCGCCATCCTTTTGGGCGCCGTGGGTCCCAGGGGCGCCAAACAGAGCCGGGAACCGGGATTTCGGGCTTTTCGAACCTCGATCTTTCCAAAATCTTGGCTACCGCTATTTTCTGGGCTGCCCTGGGTCCCTAGGGCGCCAGACAGAGCCTGGGGGCGGGGGGTGCTCTCTGCACGTTCCATGACTCTGAGCTGGGCCGGCGCCTCCGCGCATGCATGGAGCCTCGGCGCTCGGGGACTAGACCGCTACGACGCGGAGTGGCGGCGATGTGCCAGCCTGCACCGCTCCGCCCACCCAGCGGTCTCGTCCTCCCAGCGCGATCTGCAGCATCGACCGACTGCGATTTTCTTGGCCACCAGCGTGTCGTTTTGCATTGTTCTAGCTCTCGTGCTGTTTCACCGTCGCTCGGCATCTTTCATGCTAAGGTTGTTTAAGCGCACGGGTCATCCTGCTTTTGTGGGCAGTCGGTTCGCGCTGGGGCTGCTGCTGACTGCTCGGATCGCACCTGTGCTAGAAAGTCCATGAGGACTTGAGCTTTTCCAGCCTCGATCTCTCCAAAATCATGGTTCCCGCCATCCTCTGGGCTGCGGGGCCCTGGGAGCGCATAGCAGCAGAGACCACAGAGCAGCAGAGAGCACAGAGCAGCAAAGAGCAAAGAGCAGCAAAAAGAGCACAGAGCAGCAGAGAGCACAGAGCAGCAGAGAGCACAGAGCAGCAGAGAGCACATAACAGCAGGGAGCACAGAGCAGCAGAGAGTACAGAGAAGCAGAGAGAGCACAGGGCAGCAGAGAGCACAGAGCACAGAGCCGGGAACCACGATTTCGGGCTTTTCCGGCCTGGATCTCTCCAAAATCATGGTTCCCGCCATCCTCGGGGCCGCCGTGGGTCCCTGGGGCGCCAGACAGAGCCGGGAACCGGAATTTCGGGGGTTTTCCAGCCTGCACTTCTCCAAAATCATGGTTCCCGCCATCTTCTGGGATGCCGTGGGTTCTTTTCGCGCGCGCGCCCAGCGGATTTCTTTCGAACGGCCCGCAGTTTTCGCGCGAATCGATTTCGCGCGGACGGCGGACCCTCCTCCACATCATTCTGCCGCATCACCAACAGTCCGAAATTGGTGAGCCTGGCCACGTGGGCCTGTCCGTCCTCAGGCTTCCGCCAGTTGCTTGCGTTGCGCGTCAGCTTCTCGCAGTTCGTGCTCTTCACGGTCGCTGCTGCAGTGCTGGTGCAGCGTTCAGAAAAGTTGCAGTTTTTGAGTATCCATGGATCTTCACTTTCAGCAGCATCATGCCACGTGGTTCACTGTTCACTGGCCTTCGCTTTGCATGCGCTTAGCTTAGCGGTCGCACCAATGGCATTCCATTCAGGTTGACCCCGAAGCGGGTGCGTTTCAATTGTTGAACGGGCATGCGTATCCACACCATGATGTTGTAAAAGGTAGCCTCCTCCCGCTGTTATTTCTGCTCCTCGCCCTCATCCTCCTTGTCTCTTGATTCCTTAACGTGTTCTGTCGCCCCAGTGCTCGAGATAAACGGTGTTCTGGCGAGTTCGTGGTCCGTTTTCGGTTTGATCCCGTTTCGCAGCAAAGGAGGAATGAAAGCAGAACGAAGGAAAACGAAAACAACACGAAAACGAAAGAGGGTATCCTCCAGCATGTCCTGCCTCATACTACACGTAACCCTGCCTCATACTGCTCCAAGGTGTTCCTTTTCCTCTCCTCTCCCCTGCTGTTTACCCTGGCTGAGGTCAGTCGAGGAGGTCTTGGACCATCGCCGCACGCTGCTGGCACTGGAAGCCAGTGGGCCAGTTGCGCTGCTAGAGGACGAGCTCTGCCTGCGATTGCCTCACTATATCTTATGGAAGAAACTCCTGGGGAGGCTTGTCCAAGCGGGGTTGTCCAGTGGGGTTGTCGAGATCCCCGCTGGGTTTTGCAAGGGGTTGTTGTCCAGGTAGGTCGTTCTGTCGTCATTAATCAGATTGGGTTGCTTGGGTTGTCTGGGGGATTGTCTGGTTTTTTGTTGGTTGGATTACTTTTCCGTTGATCATAGTAATTTGTTTGGCTGCTCTGCGCCACTCTCGCGTAAAGTCTGCATTACTTTGAATTCTTGCCCACATCAAGGGTACATCGGCGTCGGGCTCACTATTCTGCTTCGTCCTCCGCTACCGTTTATTCGCTACTCATCACCGCTCGCCCCAACCACACGTTGCGGCTTCACACAATACTCTGCAAAACCGCTGCCAGCGCGTTGCCATTCGACGCGACCCACCCTGAGTCGCACTTAGAGTTGCGACCTGATTTCTACGCCGCCTTCGAGTCCGCCCCCCCCCGAGGAGTGGCAGCGCTGGGCAAGCTCGCCGAGGCACGCCAGGCTGGAACGAGCGGTATTTCCCGGCTGCGCGTCGCCTACATGCTGTGTGCGTGCGTCTTGTCCTTTCTTCTTTTCTCCTGCCTGCGCTCTCTCCTACCCTTTTCGTCATTCTTGCTCTCCCATGTCCTCAGTATTCTAGGTCACCCGTGGGGGCGCGAAGATGATCGCGCTTCGCGTGCCGCGGTCTGGGCCGGAGCGGCTGCCCTCCTCCAGGGGGGCGGAGCAAGGGCGCGAAGATTAACAGCCCGTCGCGTATCGCGGGGCGCGATGCGCGAAGTTAGATGACCTGGAATATCTTCCTCGGCCGTTCTGTTTGGTCTTATTGTTATTACCGTACTAAGTTGTTTGTTATCTAATGGCCTGCGAGCCATCCCGCCACCGTGCCTGGGTCTCTTGGTTGGCCTCGCTGGGCCACTGGAGCGCTTCGTGTGGCGCCTTGAGGTGATTTGATATTATGTACCATGTTGAGATGTTCATAGCTTTCTACTCCACGTTGCCACTTTGCTTCCTGTGGCTGCTGATGCGCATCCTCCTCTTACTCGTCGTCTTCCTCACCATTTTCCTCCAAGATGCGCCAGCTACACCTTGGCCTCGTTCGCATCTCTCCCTCAAGCGGCACACCTCTAGAACACTAGCGTCAAGGACTTGGCGTCGGGTTCAGCCCTCTGAAGGTACGCTTCGGAATTAATAGCCCAAACGTCCGCTCATCTTTGGAGTCCCCGAGCTGAGGAGAACAAAAAAACAATAACACTCCCGCCTCCCTCATAATTCAAAGGTGGCACGTTTACGCATTACCGCTCCGACATTCAAACTCGGAAGATCCAACACCAACATTGAATTTGTGGGGAGGGGGAGAGTTCAAACCTTCTGGCACGCGTGAGTGTTGTTTAATTGTTTTCGACATCTACCCCACCCCAGGCCCCCATGCGAGTCTTGCTTGTCATTCCCTAGTAGCGTTTCTCTAGATGGCTGCTTCGAATAGATATCAAATATTCCTCCCGCCAGAATCTCCACGGGGGGCCGGAGAGAGGCTTCTCTGAGGCCTGGCGGCGGTTTGGAACGGTCCAGAATGGACATTACGGCGTTCTGGCTCGATTTGGTCCAGCCATGAGATTCACTACCGTGTTCGAGCTCGATTGCAGCCCTCGCAGATCCAGAATGGTATTCACTATGGTGTTCTGGCTCGATTTTGCTGACAGGTGCGGATCATTATCGTGTTTTAGCTCGAGTTCATTGCAGATGTTTTTACCTAACAGCTTCTGCTGATAGGTTTCTAGTGGTCTCAAAAGAGAGCAGCAGATGACTCCACAGGGGGGTCGGGGCGGGACCCGGAACGGCTGCCGCCGAAGCCCAAATCGCTTGGGACATCCTCGCAAAATCGCTCTTGGTGCTCCCAGAACTCCATTCCCGGGCCACATTTTGGATGCCCGGAGCCAACTGTAGGCCACTTCGTGCTCTTCGACTTCCCAGAACTCCATTCCCGGGCCACATTTTGGATGCCCGGAGCCAACTGTAGGCCACTTCGTGCTCTTCGATTTCCCAGAACTCCATTCCCGGGCCACATTTTGGATGCCCGGAGCCAACTGTAGGCCACTTCGTGCTCTTCGAGTTCCCAGAACTCCATTCCTGGGCATGATTTTGAATGCCCGGAGCCAACTGTAGGCCACTTCGTGTTCTTCTAGTTCCCAGAATTTCATTCCTGGGCCACATTTTGAATGCTGAGGCAGGCTGATGCTGCGGCTGAGGCAGGCTGAGGCTGAGGCAGGCTGAGGCTGAGGCCGAGGCTGAAGGCAGACTGAGGCTGAGGCTGAAGCAGACTGAGGCTGAGGCTGAGGCAGGCTGAGGCTGAGGCTGAGGCAGGCTGATGCTGAGGCAGGCTGAGGCTGAGGCTGAGGCTGATGCAGGCTGAGGCTGAGGCAGGCTGAGGCTGAGGCCGAGGCTGAAGGCAGACTGAGGCTGAGGCTGAAGCAGGCTGAGGCTGAGGCTGAGGCAGGCTGAGGCTGAGGCAGGCTGAGGCTGAGGCTGAGGCAGGCTGAGGCTGAGGCTGTGACTGCGACTGCCGTTGCCGCTGCGACTGTCATCGCGAATGCGACTACGACTGCGAGAACAGCAGAATTCCACAACTGGATTTTCATCTGAGTCTTAAGGGGAATGCTTTCAGATATGCTTCTACACATCGCTGTTAGGTTGCTTTGCCGGGATAATTTTTCCTGGGGCTCGAATCGGATGTGTTTTACGTATGTTCCTATAGATGTCCCATCTCCTGTGGCTTGCATCGCATGTGTTTTACGTATGTACCTATAGATTGCCCGTTTCCTGGGTCTCGAATCGCATCAGTTTTACATTTGTTCCTATAGTTGCTTCTTACCTGGGGCTCGAATCCTTTTGTGTTTTACGTATGTTCGTATATATTTCGTGGGTGTCTGTTCCTATAGGTCGCCTCTGTGCTGGGGGGTACCGTGTGTTTTACATACGTTCCTACATATTGGCCCCCCTAGTGTGGCTCGAATTCGATGTGTTTTACGCGAGTGCCAAAAATTGTCCTTCCCTGGGACTCGAATGCGATGTGTTTGACGTATGTTCCTATCGATTGCCCCTTGTCCAGCCGCTGGGCCCCGTTGTCGCTGTAGCGGGATCTTCCCGCCTCCGCCTTGGAACCCCCGGATTTCCGTGCCCCGCGCGGGAGCGAGCCCCAGCTCGGCGCCTCCGAGGGTAGCCCCAGGCCGTCGGCGGGGTTGATGGGGCGCTCTCGGGTTCGGCGCGCGCGTCGAGGGTTCGCGGCGCGACGTCGGCCCCGCGCGCGTCGAGGGCTCGCCTGCGTCCGCGCCCCGAGCGCCGCCCGGCCGCGAGCGCGGAGCAGCCCGCGCCCCTGTTGCCGGCGGGCCGAGGTCGCGCAGACGGCGCGCCCTCCAGTCCGCCCGCGACACTCTGCCCGACGAGCCAGCGCTGCCGGAGGGCGCGGCCGAGGCGGCGTGACGACGCCTGGAGATGGTTCCAGAGCGTTGCGTCGCGGCTCCTCTTGTTCGCGCTGGAGGGGCCCGACGAGGCACCAGGGCCACCGCCGCTTGTTTCGGCCAGGTGGCGCGCGCCCCATGGAGGGCTCCGACGCGTCGCTTGCGACGGGCGCCGTCATCTCCGATGGGCGCGTCAAATGCGGGGAGGGCCTCGTTTTTTTCCTGCGGGGGGCCGTCCGCGGGGTCGGGCAGGGCGGGGGCGCCGCGCAGCGGCCGGCGCAGCCGCCCCTGCCCTGGGCACGGGGGCTTGGAAGGGAGCGCTCCCCCCCCCCCCCGGCGGGGCCGGTGCGGCGCGGAGTGCCTCCTGACCTGCGTCGCGCTTTCGCGCGCGCCGTTCAGGTCGAGTCCCTTATCGGGCTTGCTTCGCAGGCGATAGCGCCCCTCCTCAGTGCGACAGGGCCGCGGGCGCCCGCCGATTGGCCAGCGCTCGAAGGCGGCGACGCGCTGCCGTCTGCGGTCGAGGCTTCGGCGCGCCGCGTCGCCCTCAACGCGCGCGTGCCTTTCGCCGCCGCGCGGCGGGGCCTCGCCGTCGATTCGGCCATCGAGTTCGACAGCGGGGATGCGCGCTTGTCGCCTGCCCCCCCGCTTCGCCTCCACGTCGAGGTGACGGCGAGCAGCGCGCGCCGCCGGCCACCGCGCGGCGGCCAGACGCGGCGCTGGCGCAGCCGAGGGCATGGCCCTGCGGCGCGCGCGGCCTCTGCATCTCTTCTGCAGTTGCCGCGCCTGCCACTGTGGCAGCCCCTGCCCCGCGGCGTCGGATCTGGGGCTTAGCTTTGCCCGTCGCCAACCCACCTGCGCTCCTTGCTTGATCGCCGCTCGAAATCTGTCGACGCGTTCGAGCTGCGGCTCGCAGAGCACTCGCGCAATGCACCTGCCACGGTGTACCGCAGTGGGCCGCTGCTCTCTTGGTTCCTTGCCATCTTCGGCGCGCGGCTCCATGGCGCGGGCTTCCCGCGTTGCATCTTGGCGCGCGCCATTCTGGGCACCCAGGCCGAGCGCCCTCGCTGGCGCACTTTCTCGTCGGAGGCTTGGGGTGTGGCCGAGCAGCGGGAATATGCCGAGCCCCGCGAATTCCGCCCCCCACCTGCCTCGTGCGCTCCTTGGTGACACGGTGCACCTCAGTCTGCTGTGGGACTGACCGTTGATGGCGACGCTGCTGCCCGTGGGATTCACTATGTTCCATCGCCCTGGTGTATTGCTGGCGCGCGCCGATGCGACCTCTCGCTGCCTGGCGACCAGTTGACAACCGGTGGCGATGCCTTTCGCTGCATGAATGCGCCAAAGACCTGCGACACTGAATTGCCTTGCGCAGTGCGCTCGCTGCTCGGACATGTCGTCCGTGAGGCTCTTGGAAGTGGCGTTTCAGCAATTGGGTTCCGCCGATCCGCTCTCGCCCTTCTGGCAGGGCGGCCCCCGTGCTCGGTGGAGCCACTTGCTTTTCAAAGCTGCCTTCGGGCTGAACCTTGCGCCGGCCTTCTCGCGGGTCTCCGGGGCGATTGACTTCAACGTGGCCGCGGAAGACGGGCCGCGCGTCTTCTGGCGCGGGCGGCGGCGCCAGGCCTCCAGCGGCGAGCGCTATCTTCACGCCGCCGCTGCCTCGTCAGTCCTTTCTGCCCCCCTTGCCATGGATCGCGCGCGAGCTGCGTTCTACGCCGCTGCCAGGGACCGCCTTGCCGTCGTTTTCTCTGGAGCGGCTGCTGCTATGCTGTCAATGCAAACTGCGGCCGCCCGCCATAACCTGGTCACTGCGCCAGGGCTCTCGACCCAGGCACGGCCGCGGGCGCCGCCCCCCAGCGGCGCCCAGGTGCCCCGCGTCACCTGAGCGGCGCCGTTCGGCCCGCGCGCGCTCGGAGGGCCTGCCCACTTCGGGCCCCTCCCGCGCCCGCCGGCCCTGGCCTCCGCCCGAAGACCGCTTGCTTGCGCCGGGGCGGGAGATTGTTTCCTCTGATTTTCCTTCCCCTCGCGCTCTGCGATCTCCGCGGCATC